GTAAGACCACACAACAACAACAACAACAACAAGTGTATGGGTGTTCATTTAAGATCTATTTTCACCGCGGGCGCGTTGATCAGGGCAGGACTGGGTTTGGCTTTGGTCTTGCTCTTCCTGGAAATCCGAGACCAGGTGTTTGAGTCTCTCTCTGTGTCTGTCTCTCAACTTTCGGTTGATCCTAGGTTTCGCCCAAACGTGACGCCTTTGGACTCGATTGTCCATCTGCATGGTCGAATGAACACCAAGGGGAGTTTAATTGGGGTCTAAGTGCATTCATTCTGCATTTGGGCAGATGCCCTCCGAGGGGCCAAAGGGTTAGAAGGGAGCAGACCACCCCCTTGTTGTGTCAGCTCCACTGGCTGGCGGTCCACTTCCCAGCTCAATTCAAAGTATTGTCGAAGGCTTTCATGGCCGGAATCACTGGGTTGTTGTAGGTTTTTTCAGGCTATATGGCCATGTTCTAGAGGCATTCTCTCCTGACATTTCGCCTGCATCTATGGCAATCATCCTCTGTTGGTTTTGACCTATTTGACCCAGCTTACTTGTCCAAACGCCTCTAGGTCCCACCTCGCAGTTTAAGATCATCCAGGGAGGCTCTGCTCTCACTCCCGCCAGGGTCGCAAATACATCTGGCAGGGATGGGAGATAGGGCCTGTGGAACTTGCTTTCCACTGAGGTAAGATCATCTGGGGAGGTCCTGCTCTCGCTCCTGCTGTCGCAAATACGACTGGCGGGGACGATAGACAGGGCCTTCTTGGCTGTGACCCCCCACCTGTGGAACTTGCTCCCACTGAGGTAAGATAATCTGGGGAGGTCCTGCTCTCACTCCTGCCAGCGTCGCAAATACGTCTGGCGGGGATGAGAGACAGGGCCTTCTCAGCTGTGGCCCCCTGCCTTTGGAATTTGCTCCCACTGAGGTAAGATAATCCAGGGAGGTCCTGCTCTTGCTCCTGCCACCGTCGCAAATACGTCTGGTGGGGACGAGTGACAGGGCCTTCTTGGCTGTGGCCCCTTGCCCATAGAACTCACTTCCTACTGAGGTAAGATCATCCGGGGGGCTTCTGCTCTCGTTCCTGCCAGCGTCACAAATACGTCTGGCAGCGTCGAGAGACAGGGCCTTCTTGGCTGTGGCCCCCTGACCATAGAACTCGCTTCCCACTGAGGTAAGATCATCCGGGAAGGCCCTGCTCTCGCTCCAGCCAGCGTCGCAAATACGTCTGGCGGGGATGAGAGACAGGGCCTCCTCGGCTGTGGCCCCCTGCCCATGGCACTCACTTCCCACTGAGGTAAGATCAGCTCTGTCCCTCCTGTCATTTAGGAAGAAATTGAAGTCATTGTTCTGGGACCAGGACAACAGGCATAGAGAGCACTTTGGATATGGAATTGACTGGAATGATGTTATGGCTATTAATACTGTTTTTTTTACTGTTTTAATGAATGTTTTACTTATTGCTGTGCTATATGTATCGGCATCGAATTGCTGCCAAATGTAAGCCGTCCCAAGTCCCCCTTTGGGGGTTGAGAAGGAATGGGATAGAAATACTGGAAATAAATAAATTAGAAGCCGTGGCACATGTGCCTGCGAGCGTGTTTTCTCGCCCCCCACCCCAAAACCCGCAGCAGAAACTTCCAAGGCAAACTTTTAGGAATCCACGAGATCTTGTTCCGCCGGCTTTGTGGCTCTCTGCCTGCGGGTGGAGTCTGCCTGCCTGTGGAGTCTGCCTGCCTGTCTTTTGGGAGGCTTTTGGTTCCGTTCTCAAAGGGCACCTGTCGAGGCTGTGATAGAGGAGGGCCATGGCTGGAACCCCTCCATCCCACCCCTGACCCGGAAGGTGCATCTGTTGGGAATTGCTGCTCTGTCCCTTGAAAAGACAAAGCCCAGAATCCCCGGAGTCTTTTCCCAACCAGGCACTCAGGGCCCTTCCTCACAGTCATGCAACCCAGAATGTCAAGGCAGAAAATCCCACATTATCAGAGTGTGGACTCAGGGCCCTTCCACACAGCCCTATATCCCAGAATATCATGACAGAAAATCCCACAATATCTGCTTTGAACTGAGTTACTTGAGTCTACACTCAGATAATGTGGGGCTTTCTGCTGTTATATTTTGGGTTTTAGGGCTGTGTGGAAGGGCCCTGAGTCTACACTCAGATATTGTGGGATTTCCTGCCTTGATATTCTGGGTTATATGGCTGTATGGTCCACACTGCCATATATTCCAGTTCAAATTGGATTTTCCACAACTGTCTGGAAGGGTCCTTGGACCCCTTCACACTGACATATAAAATCCAGATTATCTGCTTTGAACTGGATTATATCTTGTTCCGCCGACTCAGGTAATCTGTTTCAAAGCAAATAATGTAGATTATCTGATTTCATAATCTGGTTTATATGGCAGTGTAGAAGGAAGGGGCCATAGGAACTGAAGTTTTACAAGGTCTTTCGCCTTCTCTGCCTCCCCAAATGACAACTCCCGGGATCCCATAGCTTGGAGCCTCGGCAGTTAAGGTGGTCTCCAACTGTATTTATTCTAAAGTGTAGACCAATCATGGACAAATTCTGACCCTCCAGGTGTTTTGGACTTCCACGATTCCTATCAATCTCAGGCCATTTCCTTTCCCTTCTCAGCCACTTAAGCAGAAAGGAAAGGAAAGGGAAAAGGAAGGGGGCTGAGGTTGTTAGGAATTGTGGGAGTTGAAGTCCAAAACACCTGGAGGGCCAGAGTTTGCCTATGCCTGGTGTAGATGCACCTTTTATTAATCCCTAGTACCTCTGTCCTGGTACAGAGGAAGCAAGGACAAGAAACAGCGGCCTCTGAGCATGTTTAAAGAGCTTTCCCCATCTTGGTTGCCCTTTCTTTGATACCTAAACAATGAGGTGTAAAGGTAAAGGGATAGTACAGAGAGTGAGGGTCCAGTGAACGGATGGCCCTTGGTTTCTTGTTGGCCCCATCAACACTGACCTTTTATTGCAGTTTCAAACTGATATTGAATTAAGTGGTTTCATTGGGCAGGTAGTTACATTGGAAACCAGTACGGGGCCCAGATGGTGATGACACAAACCATAGAGCACTGATGCACATTAGGAGCATTCTTTTGCACACTTTTGTGGGAATTTGTTTGAAGTTGCTATTTGAAGTTAGCTTTGAACTGCATCAAAGGGTCAGTGTAGATGGGGCCTGTATTTGTGTTTGTATATGCTGTTATCCGCTGTTAGTCCCCTCAGGGTGGAATATAAATAAAGTGTTGTTGTTATTATTATTATTATATTTATTATTGTTGTTGTTGTTATTATTATATTTATTATTATATTTATTATTATATTTATTATTGTTATTATATTTTTTTAATATTACTTTCTTGAACTTCTGTTGGCTGGAAAAAGGGCTGCTTTCCACTTCAGCCACTCAGATTTTTATTGGAAGCAGAAATGTTCCTTGTTTGACTTTTGGCCATTCCCATCTCTTAAAAAGAAGAAAGTTTCAACTTGGAGAGTGTGTTCCCCAAACATTGAGCAGACGATCTCACAAAAGTGTCTATTGAGCTGTCTCTGTGACGGCATACATGTGCCACAGTTCACAGGGTGGCTCCCTGGTGCAGACAATACACATTTGCTGCCATGGACACCAACATCCACTCATAAACACATGCGGCGAATGCGACACACAGGGATACTTTCAGAGGGTCCCCACCCACTCCATCCATTGCATGGATTCCATCACTCAGCCTCCCAGACATAAACGCGGCCCTCCTTCCGAAGCCCCGTGCTGTAAAAATACAAATGAATCTGACCCATCCCGCAGCTGTTAAGAGCACAGAAGTTCAAATAGCAGGGAAAAGCTGCAGTGCCACTAAGATTTGGGGGCAATAACAGGATTTTTGCAAAAAATCAAATAAATGTTAGCCTGTGCAGTGATATTATTTTGATTTTGGATTGTTTAGGTCCCTGATTAGTTGCTTCCTTGTGTTATCATGCACCTTCAAGTCTGCTCTGACCTGTGGCAACCCCATTGTGGGACTTTTTTTGGCAAGATTTATTCTGAGGAGGTTTGCCTTTGCTTTCCAGTTGTCTTTAATTACCCTTTCTTCATGTTGGTTTAAAAAGTGGCGAAGATGTGATTTATCCTGCCATTTCAATGCAGGTTTATTGGTTAAACAAGAGGTTATTATTCACCCAGTTTATTGGAATTACATAACAGGGTCAGAAGAATGACCCATGATCCTTAGATAAATCAGGAGCGCTACAGAAGAGGCTGTAGTTTGAAGGCATTGTTTTTCGACATTGTTGTTGTTGTGTGCCTTCAAGTCGTTTCTGACTTATGGCAACCCTAAGATGAACTTATCATGAGGATTGGCTTTGTCTTCCTCTGAGGCTGAGACAGTATGACTTACCCGAACCTGGTCTTCAGAGTCATCGTCTAACACTCAATATATCACAGTGTGGTTGAAGGCTTTCATGTCTGGAATCACTGGGTTGCTGTGAGTTTTCTGGACTGTGTGGTTCCGGAACATGGCCATACAGCCCGGAAAACTCTTAGCAATACATCACACTCCAAACAAAAAATGCACAAACCCAGATGGGATTCAAACCCACAATCCCCAGCTCCAAAGGCTGATTTTTTTTCATGTCAGGAGCAACTTGAGTAACTGTAAGTCACTTCTGGTATGAGAGAATTGACTGTCAGCAAGGAATTGGCCATTGCCCGGATTCGAACCACTGGTCTGCAATCCTACCGGCACAGGGGTTTAACCCATTGCGCCCCTGGGTGCTCCCCAAAGGCTGATCACATGCATATTGAGGGGTGCATCTACACTGTAGAATTAACACAGATTGACTTATTTAGCTGCCTTAACTCAATGCTATTGAATGCAGGGAGTTGTTGTTTTGCAACTCTTCTCTGCCAAATATAACTGGCGTCTCACCAAACTACGTCTCCCATGATTGTGTCGCATTGGGCCATGGCAGTTCAAGCGGTGTCAAACTGCATTATTCTACAG